CTGCTAATGCCCCGGCAGTCAACGTCGGGACAGCAGCTCCACCAACAACCTCAGTATCAGACCTCTAATAGACCCCTCTCGAGACCGAACCCGATAGGCACTCCGCAAGGTCGGCCTCCACTTAACCAGTTCTCCTTCAATCACCAACAGCTCTTCTTCGTGAACCTTCTCTCGTCGTTCTAACTCAAGTACCGTAGGGTCTTCAGCGTTGTCAGGAACAGCTAAGATCACCTGGATGTCCTCTTTGATAGCCTGCAACTGAGACCGTAACCGACCTCTCTGTCGGCGAAGTCCACCCCTCTTAGTACGCAGTTCCTCACAACGGGCGACTAAGGGAGTAGGCACAGCAGACCCATCGTGGAGCGCCATGTTGAGGGTCGGTACGCCTTCCTTATCTCCCATTGAGGGAACGCCACAACTAGAGGACTTGTAGGAAGAACTTATCTATCAATATAATCAATAGTAGGCTCACTTGGCGCTAGGCTAAGATATGCACTGCGACACGGAGCAACAGCCAAAATGACAACTGGCACAGAAACAAACACAATACTTCGTTTTAGGATGCAATCATCCCTCTACACTCGACCTCAAAGCTGCAGATTCACAGTTCACAGTTTAACACGGGGATTAATCTTGATTCTGTACCGGGGGTCCGGATCCCCGGTACCAAACCCTGATTCTGATTCTCAACCTTGATTCACGACTTCAGCGCGGCGCGCTGAGCGCGCGCCACGGCAGACCTTCTCAGCTCCCTGCGAGTAGGTTCTTAGAATGACCGTACCGGGGGATAGAACCTCGGCTTCGACCAAGCGAAAGCATATCCTTAAGTCAATTAATTGTTCATTTGAAGTACGGATGTGTGCAAGTGCGACAAAAGATCTTCTTCCGAAATTTTATCATTGTTGTAGCATAACGGGAGTTGTGCATGCATTCGGGGCGAATCTGCCAGGTTCTACCGACGTGGAATTGCGTTTTCTTCCTTTCTTGGAATTGTAACTTTCGGTTCTGGGGCGTAGCGACCATAATCTTGTTCTTGTCAAAAATGTCTAATTCAAACTCTGATTCCCTGATTCTCGAAAGTACTCAGATTCAATGGAATCACCCGAAAAATCAGCCTCATGAGCAAGGCATATTGAGTAAGAGTATTAATCAGCCAAACAATCAACTTTAGATTCTCGGATCAGCTCAGAGATCCACATATCCTCGCGAGTCGCGATGATCCCGATTTCTCGCTCCAGAGTAAAAAATCAGTGAATCAGGGGTTATTTCTCAGTGAGAAATTCTCACCATCTGATTTTTTCATCTGAGTAAATACTCTGACTCACCTGTTGCATCAGGATCCGCATACGGCCCCTGCACTACGTGTCGACAAACTCCACCCTCGGAACTCGACTTTCTTACCCGTGAGATTCGAAACTGCCATTGGTGTTGAGTTACATCGGAGTATTGGGAATTGGGCGTGCGCTATCGACAACTATGAAATCGTGAGGCCTTTTCCTCGGGTTTTTGTATAACGGCTCGTTAAAGAATCAGCTCTATTGTCAGAAGTTGACACATAAATCGCACTAAATTTTTCAGGAATACCAAGAAGGGTAAGTTGATTGAGAATAGCTAAATAATATGGTTGCTGAGGACTAGCTACACGACGGGTATTGATGATTTTCTCAGTGGTACGGTTGTCTGTGCGAATACGTAAATCGAAATTACGTAGAGTATAGAGAGTAATAGAACGGAGTAAAGCACCTACATGAAGGACACTTAACAATTCTTTCGCAGATATATGTGTAATCTCATTGCGTGGATCACGAAGAAGAATTTGTCTTCTCAATGGTAGGGGTATCTCTATCAATGAGAGTGAATCCTAGCAGGTATGGCGACGCATCACAATTAGTTGTTGGAAGAATACGAATAACGTCCGGAAGAGAAGTCGACTTCAAAATTTGAAGTTCAAATAATCGTGAAAGTTCCTCACTAACATAAGAAGTTCTGAAGGTAGTGGTAAATCCCAAGATTTTTTAGCATGACGCGGTAAATTCCGCGCCTTACAAATATCGTCGCGAAAACGACTTGCAAGCGATTGGAGACTATGTTTTGAAGGTGTGGTGTGTAGTGGCAAAAGGTCTTTGCAGTTAGTTGTGATGCTACCAAGATATGGTCTTCCAGTGGTTGGTTTGGACGCTGCGTCAGAAGTCGGCAGTCGAGTAACACGAGAAGCCTGCTGTTCTAAAGGTTGGTGAGAGAAACAGCATGTCTCGCCAAACCGACATTCACCAGTAAAAGTCTGGTAGATACAGCGTTTCTGGACCTCACAGGTTTCAAACTTGCTAGGGTCTTGGTCCTTAAAGGGTATTGCTCGTTCGCCAGTGCTACTGGGAGGAGACGAAACAAGAGGGTTGGTGGACTTTGAGTTGCCATGGGATCCTGGTGAACCAGATGAACGTTGGAATCCAGAAAAAGACTTACGAGCAGCTTGAACCCGTTGGCGAGCATCTAGACGAGATGCTAAGTCGTGAACTGACAGGGTGGGATCAAGAAGCGAGGTAGTAACTGCAATAGCTAACTCAGTCCGTAAGCCAAGTTTGAAGATTCGGCTGAGCTGCGAATCAGATAGCTTATGGTCAACAGCAGCACAATCAGCCTGAAGTGCTAGGAGTCCATCAAGGTAATCATATACAGGCTCGGAAGGAGCATGGACAAAAGAGTCGATACGATCGTCGAGACGATCGTCGAGACGATCGTGAGTGTTAGAGTCCCCATAGGTTGTACGAAGCCAATGAACGCCTCTATCAAGAACAGTTGTGTAATCAACAAGCCCTAAGTCAGACTGTGCGGAAGGTTGGACCGCCGACAGTAGCCCTGCTTTGACATTCTCTCCGTAACAAAGAACTAAATAATGCCACGCTAATTTCGAGCCCAATCCAAGGTGGATAATTTCACGTTGAATGACAAGTAGAATAGAATTTATAGGGCGAGAATCAGAACGTCCAGCATAAGATCTATTATCAGGCATACGCATAGCTGTGATAGTCTGTACAGCTTTCATACACTCAGCTACCACCTTGGGATCATCGCTCGATCCTGCCACTGATCGCACATTTCCAACGGAATTTGCGCTAGAAATCCCAGTGCCAGTGTAACGGGGTGGGTTGCGAACGGACGAGGCGTGGCCCACGCCGCGTGGGAATCAAGAGCAGACGAATGGGGTAGAGGTACTAGGCCTTTAGCTAGCCGGGAGAAATAGATTTCGCGATATTTAGTACGATCGCGGAGTTTGGGCAAAGCGGATAGAGCGTGTTCAAGTTTCTTAAGTTGAACATGGTGTAAAAGCCCAACTTGGGCTGCCCAACATCAACGTCTAGAAAGTCGGCTAGCGTTTGTTACCCATCTAGAATAGAAGAACAGAGCTTACCAGGTTCATCATAACGGGTTGCGTCGAATACTGTGCGTGGGGAGGTTGTCAAAGGTTGTGGTTCAAGCGGATGTAAATCACACACAGTAGTCGGACGGCAGCAGATGTGTCGCAAAGGGCCGAGCCTAGAGGTAGGCAAGGAAGTACCTGTAAACTGTTGAAGGCTCAAGGGAGAGCAAATACGACACGTTCGTCAATACTTCGAGGTTGAATGCCGTGACTCCAACTCGAAAGAAACGCAACTAGCAGAACCAGTTGCGAATGGGGCTAGTCGAAAAGCTTGATAGTCTAGAGATCTACTGTA